CAAAGCAGGTCTTAGAAATGACTTCACTCTGTGAAGAGGCCACAAAGCTGAACTCCAGGCCTCTCCCTTCTCCCATAGCACACCACTGTAGTGGGAGGCCTCATCTCTCCCAGCCAGGCCAAGCATGCCTCAGCAGCCATGTTTGCTGTCTGGGAAGTTTATGTCCCTACCACCAGGGTGTGAAAGGCTTGGGGACAGGACCACATCTGAACTGGCCCTGTCCCCACTGTCCACTCTGAACTGTCAGCCCCAGAAAACGGGAGTCAGTTTCTCTGAAGGTATTTCACCGACCCCCAACACTCTTGTCCTCAAAAGACCTTGAGGTCTTATGTTGCTCTGCCTGGACCCTTTTCTCAGAGTTTACATGTTTTAGAATTTTAAATTCACTACTTTCACATTTATGATTTTAATAGATAATTATAAAACATCTTTCTCATGTCAAATGAAAAATGACTGTTATAGTTCATATTACCAGTTTCTCCAGCTATGGTTTCCTGATGTATTTATTCCAAAGGGATTTGAAACATCATTTCCTTTAAAAAGGGCACCATAATGGGCATGGTGATGTATGCTGTAATCCTAGCTACTCAGAAGGGTGAGGCACAGTAGGGCTGGGGATGTAGCTCAGTGCTTCCTGAGGTTCAATCTGCTATACTGCTCCCCACCCAGCCCCAAAGAAAGCATCATCACGTCACTAAATACGGGAATTTGCCTTGGGGTCTCTAACCAGCTATGCCATGGCTGAACAAAGGACCAAGTTTTGAGCCAAGGGTTGAACTGTGTATGTAGTTATTTTGAAGTCATTTTTAAAATGAAAATACAGAATGTGGGAACCAGCTATCGTGGAACATGCATGTAATCCCAGCTACTGGGATACTGGGGTGAGGGGATAGCAAGTTTGAGGCCAGCCTGGGCAACTTAGTGAGACCTTGTCTCAAAGTTTTACAAAAAGGCTGGAATATAGCTCAGTAGCCCAGGGTTCATTCCCTACTACAGGAAGGGAAAAAAAAAACGAGCATGTGGGAGCTACCCTGCTGGAGAAGATTCATTCAACTATTTACCAAGTGCCATTAAAGGCCTTGTCCTGGGTGATGAGAATACAGCTGTGAACAAAAAAGATGCAAATTCTTGTCCTTATGGAGTGTACACTGCAATGCAGTCACTGACAACCACGGTAAGCACTGAGTGTTAAGTGTTGAGGAAGAAAAAGCAAGCTGGGAATGACACAAGAAGCTATGCGTCAATGGCACCATGCTGAAACCTGAGATCAGACGGGGTAGGGGAGACAGGGAATGTAGGAGTAGCTGAGGGTATGGTACCGGGGAGGGCTGGGAGTCTGTGTCCTGGCCTGGGTTGCTGGGGCCACAGGAGAAGAGCTGGCAGGGACACGGAGGGCTGTGGGAAGGGGTAGAACATGCAGTTGTTATTCTAAAGGAAAATGAAAAGCCACCAAATTTTGGGAAAGAATAGGACTGCTTTGCTGCTTTGCTGCGGGGTGGAAGACAGGTCATAGAGAGGCAAAGGTACTACCAGGAGTTCAACCTATTCACAGAAAATCAGGTAAGCCCCCAGGGTAGTGGCCAAGAAGGTGATGAGAAATGGCCCAACCATGGACACAAAGTGCAAATGGAGCTGACGGCCTGAAGTAGCACAGGACAGCGTTGCTACGGAGAGGATAGGCCAAAGGCGTCTATCAATTGGCAAGCTTGCTTCACAGTTCCTTTCCCAAAAAAATGGGAAGTCTGGACTTTTCTTCCATTTTAAAGCTTGTCAGTTATGAGGTTTTTTTTCTTCTTTCCCACAATTTCATTCTATTTAATCTCACTGTCAATTAACTCACACTCAGATGCAGAACAGTGAATTTTGATGAGCCAAAAAAAAAAAACCCTTTAATTAGCCTAAATTGTTTCAGTTAGCATAACTGCTTTTCAGCTCATTGTTGGTGATTTAGTTTTTAGACCCAGCAACTGTAGTGCTGGCTGTTGAGTCTCCACACTGGCTCCTTTCTGCACTAGGTCCTGCATGTTAGAAAAGGACAGGGGGCTCTGCTCCCAGTGACAGAAGGGCTCCTCTTCCCTGGCCTTGGATGAAGGCATGGAGAGCACAGGAGCTCTCCCAGCCGGACAATGGATGAGCCAGGGCTAGGAGCCAGCTTATTTCCAGCCCAGAGGTTGGAGCAGCCCTCTGCTCTTCAGCCCCACCACCTCCGCCCTGCCAGAATGCGGCTGCAAAAGGTTACCCAGGGAAACGAAGCCCCAGTGCTCACCCCAACCCCACATCTGCCTTATTCATGGTCTCACTGCAAGGTTCTTACAAATTTGTGGTCTCAAAGAAGACTTCCTTCTGTGAAGGCAGTGAGTCCACCATTTCCCATGGGAACAAAGTGACCAAGTATAAGAGTAGCACTAGTGGCTCTCTTGAGGAACTTTCAGGAAAAATACTGATGTTCATGATCCCATCCTAGAAAAATTCATTACATTCAGTGAAGGTGGGGCCCATACAAGAGTATTTTTGAAAGTGTAAAGGATTCTAACATCCAGCCGGGGTTGAAAACCATGGCCCTAACATCGTTTACTGAAAGGACTGAAAAGGTGCATCATTTTTATCACGCAAGGAAGAAAAACTGTCCAGCATGGGACCAGCTCAGGGCAGGGGCTCTTAGGAAGCAGGGCAGAGCTGCAGTCAATCACTAGCAAAGTGCTCAAATCACATCCTAATTTCCAGAGAAGACATTAATTCCATCCAGGGTCTTAACACAGTTACCACTGAGAGGCAGTCCAATAATCAAGACTTATGGAACAGGCAGGAAGAGGTGAATTTTGAGGCAGAGCAAAAATTATTCATCCATTCACTTAGTGAATCTTCAGCTAAATTTCATTTTGGTGATAGCCAAACACCAAAATCACCTGCCCTACTTATAAATTACCAGCAACAAACTGTGTAAGGTTCTATACTGTGAGCAGTGCTCTCATAGCCTCCCCACTGTCACCTTCACCCAAGACAAGTAACAGCTCTCCCTTGTCACAGGAGGCCCATCCCACCGCAGCTACAGCCGGAGATGGATCTCCGGGGTATCTGTTCTCTCAGACACTCCACCAACACCATCACGGCCGTTAGTCTGAAACTATACTGGTTAAGGAACAGTAAATAAGAGTGAATCTATCTCAATGGACTCATTCAGCAAAATAACTTTGCAAGTTCTGTCACCAAGAACTCGGGACACCTGACACCTGTAGTACTACCTCATGAAACTCGTAAAACCATTTCCGTCACATGACGTGGTGATGAATTCCTTTTCTGGGACCATCTGTACTCCGTGTTTCACTATCTGAGCTGGTGAATAGTATTAAGGTGCTGGACTCCTGCAGAAGTCAGGTACAGGCTCCTTCTCTAGACATAACTGCGCATTATATCTGACTGAATGTTCTGAAGTAAACCTAAGAAGTTTAGAAGCACTTAATTACATGTTCTGTGCATGCTGTAGAGACCAATTAGGATGTGAGCCTTTCCCATCACTCTGACTTTTGGGGAGAGTAAAAACAGCAGAACTTTTGAGACAGTGCTACTTACCCGGCTCTGCTCACCCTACCTCCCGCCGCATACAAACAAGTACAAAAACAATTACTAGAAGGTCTCCAAGCTTCACACCTGGCTTGGTAAGGACCCAGGCTTTAGACAACAGGCTTGAGCAGAAGTGTGCATGATTGTGCACGTGTGCACTTTCATGTGTAAAGGGCCTCTTTACTTAGAACACAGCTCCACACTCACCGGTGCTTAAAATCAGGCAAACAGGGTAGAAACAGAACCGAAGAGTTCTGCTCTGGCCCTGTCATCATTGAGGTGGTCGGGCATGCTGGAGACGTGGGTATTCTCCTGGCAGGAACCATGCACTGCCACCGAGGAGCGGAACAGAGAAAGGGAGGGCTTGCAGATCTAACACCCAGCCCTCACCCCAGGGCAGATGCGTTTCCACTGAAGAATGCTGTGGTTCCAACCCCTTTATGATGTAAGGTAGGTAAATCCCAGTTTGTTTTATCTATCTTCCCCCATTAATGAGCTCATAAAAACCTGCGGTGATTGCTGTTTCTCCATGGAGGTACTTACAGCAAGAGGAAGAAAATTACTGGGAAGGACAGGAAGTAAAAAGCCTTCTGCATGGAGGCCACCCACCCCTCCGTACTGTACAAAGTCCAAACTCTGCAAACACAGAGCTGCTAAAATTTGCACAGCCTTGTGTTTTTTTTGTTTTTTGTTTTTTTTTAAAGAAATAAGCATTCTATATAAAAACAAGATAGCAGCAAAGTGCCTTAAAATTAAGTCCAACATGTCTAGTTTTGAATAAAGACGCTGGTAGATAAGAATTGCTAAGTCAGACAAAACAGGTGGGGATCCTTCAGCATCAGGAGCCCACTGATTTCCAGGACTACCAGAGAACCAAGAAGCAAGCTTGCCTTGAAAGAGAGGGCTCTCCCGTCCAGGCCCACCCTTAGAGACTATGCATCAGGGTTGGCAACCAGGGGCCCAATCACCAACACACTGCCCCCGCTGCCATCCTCTGCTCCGGCTCCCCCAGCCCTCCCCCAGTCTTTCCCAGAAGCCATTTTACCACTTGGAGACGGCTGTCTCTTTAGTACAATGTATCACTTTCTCAGAAAAAGAGAGGAGGAAAGATGAGTCCATAGACAAAGTAGATTAGCTTAGAGCGAGCCGAGGTTGGAATGGGGAATGCTGGTAAATGGGCATGAGGAATTTTTTTAGAGCGGTGAGTATGTTCTAAAATTGGATTGTGGTGGTGGCTGCACAGCTCTGTAAATATACCAAACATCAGTGAACTGTACATTTAAAACAGGCTAATTTTATGGCACGTAGTTTTTACTCCAATAAATTATGCTGTTAATTTTTAAAGTGTATCTGTTGTGTTTAACATTAAGTCTAATCAAAGGTGGAAAAAGCCGCTTTGCTGAAAGAAACTGTGGAAACACAAGCACATGAGTTCCAAATCAGTTCAGAATTCCTGCAACTTTAATTGTGGGATAAAATCAGGCAGCCACTGAGAATAAAATGCAGTCCCTGGGAGCAGTCAAATGTTGTTCTTTTGGTTTTTTTGGTAAAGTGGACATGGTGAGAGTTAAATTTTTATTAACACATGTAGCCTAAAGTTGCAAAAGTTGTCCTCATTCCTCGATTGTCTCTTTTTTACCAGTCTCTTGACCTTCAAAGACAGGATACCTGGCCTCCACATCAGCCCATGTGATGCTGCCATTGGCCAGATCGCGGACTATGCTGGGTAGTTCAGAGATCTGGCGGGGAAGAGAAGACCAAGCGTCAACCAACTTGTGCCACATTTGTATAATGACAACGTTTCCTTATAAACTGGTCCTACATGTCTCTTGCCACTCCCTGGGCCTCTACTTAATTACACTCACCCCTCACCCTCTCCTGCTAGGCCTCAGTTCATGTTCTTCTTCCGGCCCACAAAGCTTACCACCCCCGCCGAAAACTCAGTCTAGTCACAAAGCCTTTCCTAACTTCTCTAACTCTTCACTTTGGCTTGAAATTGCTTCACATGCGTTATACTTCACTCTTCAAACAGGAGTCCCAGTTGATGGCAGTCCATCAAGTAAAGGTATGAAGGGTACCAGGCACTCCAGCTGTTCCTCAGCCTCCAGCAAACACTGGCTGACACATAGCAGTGGTCCTCAAACTTGAGTATGCAACCAAGTCACGGGTAAGGCTTGCTCTTCCGACGCCCAGTTCCTGATGTGCTAGGTTTGGGGTGGAGGTTCTGCTGAGCTAACCAGTGGCCAGATGATGCGAGGTCACAGGTCCAGGGACCATACTTTGAAAACTATGGCCAGATGGGAATATAGGTCTGGGACAGCCAGATCCGGCTTGTAAGACAAGGCAGAAATTTATGCCTTGTACAGTAGACTATAAATTCCTTGGGGAAAAAAGCAGTCTTTTACTTCTGCTTTGCAAACTACTAACTCTATCACGCTGAGCACACAATAGGTACTCTAACCAAATACCTGCTCAAAGTTAATAAATCAGCCAGGCAGCTGTCAACTAAAGTGGCCACTCTGTCCTTTCCCTTATCACCCTCCTTCCCTTTTTATTTCCTTTCCATTAAGCAAAATTATTGAAACATTATTCACTGTTTTGAATGGATTATGCCAGAAGAATTTATGTATATAAACATGCATACGTTTCTATAGAAATGGATAAAAATGTCTCAGTCCCCAAAAGCCTGCCAATAAAACTATGGCAACAGCCTCTGGCATCACATTTCTCTTGCCCAATGCACAAACAACTATAAAAGCAAACTGCTGGAGAATGAGCCCAGAGCAAATAAATGACTATAAAATGTTAGAGAAGTGCTAATGGATATTTTCATAATTAAGCCAAACAGATTTGGGAATCTGCGCTTCGTCTGATACAAGTCTATCATTAAAATGACAAAAGAAAAAAAAAACAAAGCAGAAAAGTAGAGTATAAATAAAATCTAACTCAAACTAGTCAGAACTGGTGCATATTTCCAAGATTAAAAATGCCAAAGTGACGGGCCATTACCTCTGCTCTGATCTGCCGCATGGAGTCTCGGTCCCTCAAGGTTGCAGTGTGAGGGGTCTTGTTCACCGTATCAAAATCAATGGTGATGCCAAAAGCCACGCCAATCTCATCAGTCCTGGCATAGCGCCTTCCAATGGACCCAGAGGAGTCATCTACTTTGTGAGACACGCCATTCCTGGTCAGAGCTTCCGCTATCCGAAACAGATGAAGTAATGACAAAGGCACAGAGTAAGTCTCAGTGTCACCTGAATGCTGTCTTACACACTTGGGAAGCTTATAAAAGCAGCCAAAACAAGAGAACAACAAATTCCAGTTGTAAAAAAAAGAGAAATCCTGTAAGTTTAATAAATCCCTCCCTGTAGTCCAAACCTTCCCTCCCAACTACACAGGATACAGCTGCAGGGGACCAAGTGTTGGCTAAGGAGCCAAGACCAGGAGTTGGGTCCTGGCACCACTAGCTCTAACCCGAGCAGTCCACGGATTCCTTCCACTGCCCATCTGTGAGGGAAGTGGGCGGCACCCGATGATCCCCAAGGTCCCTTTCAGTGCTATGGACGTCATGGTGAGGGCTGTTGCACTTCATCCAGGTTCCCCCCGGTGAAGAGGGCACACAGCCACCATGAGAAGTAGTCTTAAAATCAAGCTCCTGGGCCCTACCCTCATTCACTCAATACTAGGATAAAGCACTCTGAAAAAGCACACTTTCTCTTCAGAAATAAGAGCAGAAGCAAAAATCACTTAGATTTGTTCTTATTCAATCCATATTTTCATTGAACTAAATGATACATTTCCTAAAACTGAGTCTACTTAATGGTGTTCCCATGGAGATTATCCAAGTGGATTTGCTTACATAATTCCTTGACAAACGGCATGAACTCCTGGTTCTGGCTGAGCGGAAGGACGGAACATTTGAATGGAGCAACCACAGCAGGGAAACTGAAGAACTGAATGGTTTAAAAAGAAAGAAATCCAAAGATGTTATTTTATATATACCTAAATGTTAATGTACCGCACCACACAATGTAAAAACTGGTGGGTGTCCAAGCATCACTTCACTGTCAAATCACCAGAAAGCAAGATACAAAAGGCAGTATGACAAGAAAGAACCAGACTCAGAAACATCTAGTGTCAGCTCTGATTTTGGATCAACTTGGGGAACTCTTTCTAAACATCAGTTTCTCCATCTAAAACATGGGTTTTTATGATCTATCTGCTCTGTTTACTTCACAAGTCTGTCTTTTAAAAAGTCAAATGATGTGAAAACATTCTGAAAGCCACCACCTAGGCAAGATGGTAACTTTTTGGTCCCACATAAAAGGCTTACTTCTTTCTGCAGAGACCGCCTGGAGAAATCCCTTACAATCAAGTAACAAGCAGCAATGCCAAAATCACAACCCATTCTGTCCTTTAAGAGAAGACTCCATGAGCCTTAATGACCAACTAAAATCTTAATTAGTACCCAAAAAACAGTACAAAACCACCAAAAAAATATTCTGCATCCCTACACTGAAAATTACAGCCCTCCAACTCTGCTCTGTAAAGTTTCTGAGTAACTGAGCACTCAAAGAAAGCAGGTATTCTGTGGAAAGCAAACTAGCCTACCACTTTGGGTGAGAAATGAGCGCAGAAGGCAGTTCTTAAATAATATTTGTACAAAAACATTCACTTGAAGGACAGCACGTACAACTTGGAGTGAGTTTTTCCTATAGAAATAACGAATAACACAGGTTTTGTTTGGATCCCCACCCAAGCTTTAATAACTGATTGTGCCAAACAATGGCAAATATGCTATTCTAAGTGAACCCTGCACTATAGCAGTACAGTTGCCTGCATTCCAGAATTTTCAGAATTCAACTCCCCTTCTCCATTAATTTCATGTAATGAGAAAGAAGTAGGAACCTGCCTTTATAGAAAAAATATTTTTTAATTTCACTAGCGATGTTTTTATATCAAATTTATAGGCAAATGGGTTGAGGTACTAGGTGCCATTAATTTAGAAACATTTTTGGCTTCCCAAAGCCTAATCAAATCTCTCTTCAAGATGGGACTCTCTATGCAATTCATAAAACACTGTCACTAATTTATTCTTGTTTAGCTTCTATGTCTATTAGAGCTCTAGTTACAGCAATATTGTTAGATTCAAAGGAACAGCTAAAAGATTAAAAAATACTTTTTATTAGAAAAATAAGCAGGAAAACCATTAAACACACTTGACATCTAAAAAGAATATGTTCAGTTATGCAGATCAACCTTCCAAAAGGACCGAGCCTTATACTCTGCATATCTGCTGCCAGCCCAGGTCCCCACTACCTGCTGCAAGAATGAAGGGCTGTTCCTTCACATCAGAAAGTAAAGACGTAACTTTAGGGTAGATACTAAAAGAGCAACTTTATTATCCACATGTTACAGTAGTGCGTCGGACCTTTTAAAACACTGGCACCAGGCATTTGCTAATTCATTCTTCAAAGTTAAATGCTCTGAGAAAAAAATACAGACTTGATGCCCAGCATCGTATGTGCTCTGCTTTAGAACAGGGAAGCAAATGAAACTGTTCCACTAATTTGATATGCACACCCTCTCCTTTGTAGCCATTCTTCTCACTGGTTTTCATGGAATCACTGTAGAAATTAAAGGAGTACAATTCCACAGGCAGAGGTGAGGTGAGAAGGGTGAAGTAAGGCGGACTGAGGAGATAAAGTGGAAGGTACGGAGTCACAGCTCAGAACCACGAGAGCCTGAAGAGAACTGGTAGGAGCTGAAGAAGACTCCTTAGAAACTTCTGTATTCAGTAATGCTTGAGGATCAGGAGAGCTAAACCCCAGGCACTGCCCAGTTTATGACCTCTGAGATCCACATACTAGAATCAGGCTGGATTCTTCTTTAAAACAAACAACCAAAGAATAATAAAACAAACCTCCACAGATCTCTAAGTCTCAAACTCTGAGAATCAGTGCCTCTGGAATATAATCTACGAATTTACATCTTCACCCTAAGCGTATGCCAGGTGATTTTATGCAGTATAAGAGGGTTCCCTTGAGTGCTTGACAGGTACATAGACACAGTTTGGTGGTTTACTCAATTCTATAAGCCTTCTCATCCTTCCTTCCCAATTTTCTGAAAATAAGAATGCACCCAGAAAGTATCACTCACCCACTGATGCAACACACTTCCCCAGAGGCTCTGTCTCAGAAGAGTGTGCCAGCGACTAAAGCAACGGGTCCCAGAACAACCTACACACACTACACCTAAGCAAGGCAACACATAAGTGCTTGCTTTGTAACTTGCTATGCAAAGATGACTCTAGTACATTACAGCAATGACTACTCCTTTTAAGGAAAAGTCCTTTGCAAAAGAGGGAATTCACCTCCTTGCTCAGCCCCCTTCCCTTTTGGCAAAAAATCAATTTCTTAGAAACTCATGTAGATCACTGACCTTTCGTACTTTTTTAAAAAGCTAGGGGAAGTGATTTTCTTGTCCAGTATTTCAGTAAATGTGAGCACGTTGTACAGGACAGCTTACCGTTCTCTGTTCATCTCCCTCTCGTACATGGAATGTATGTTCAAGTATAGTATACATGATCCTGCCCAGGCCAAAGGAGGGTTCAATGACGCTCGGAACAACTTCTTCCACTGCAAAATGACAGAAACTCAGTCACATTCTCTCGATGCATTTCAGATCTTATCTAAACAATTCTTAGCACTAAAAACGTCTCTAATCTAGATGGCTTGCTATCTCTGTTCATCAGAACCTACAAAGAATCAGAACCTACAAAGAATTACAACCTTCATAAAAGCTATTCCCTAGTAGGAAACACAATGCCTTCAAAGAGAAAGTTGGAACGCAAGAAATTTTCACCAAATTTAATTCTTTGTTCACACAGCAGAAAAATGAAACTAGAGTCACAAGACCATTCCTTCCCCAGCTGATAACCAAACACAGCAGCAACTACACTCTACCATCTGCCTTGTCTCTTCAGAAAGCATAATAAACTGTGAGCTTCACTAAAACTAAAAAATCTACCACCATAGCTGAAAAATTAACATTAGGCACATTCTACCAGGGGTCCCTCCAGCTCTTCCCATAGGCAAGACTATACCTGCGGTACTCTGGAAATGCATTAATAATTATTATTTACTATGGAAAGGAAAGGAGGCAGTAAGTACTGTCCAGGCTTAAGGTTATCTGACTATGACCTTGGAAGATTTATGTTTTATGGGTAATGAGACAACAACTACCACCAAAACCTCAGTTCTAAAGAGAAGCTGCTTGTTTTGTCTGTGATAAAGAATAAGAATATATTTTAGAAATACGATCAAAATATTTTCCTGCCCTCCTTCTATGGCATCTGAGTTAACAGCAAGGTACCATTCTCAAATAGCCACCAGGATGACAGCTAAAGCCCCCCGACCCAAACGGGCCCCCACTGACTCCAGTATCGTAGACCAAGAGCAAATGGGAAGGCAGGCCTAGTGTTTCTACAAAAGGCAGCTGCTTAAACACCACTGCTGTCTCTAGGAGCTTCATGCCAGCCACAAATAAGCATAGTGCCCTTCAAATATGCATCGAATACTCAATGCCCAATTTCTAGCAATTGTTCTACAAAATGATCGCTCCCCTTAGCTTCTTAAAAAGTATGAAAGGTTGCTGATCTAAATGACATTTTAAGTTCATTTTTTGCCAAAAGGGGAGGGGACTGAGTGAGGAGGTGAGTTCCTTCTTTTGCTTAAGAAACCAAAGGACTTTTCCTTAAAATCACCAAAAAAATTTTAATCACAGGTATTCTTAAAATGTACCGCAGAACACAAGAAACATAAAAGGCAGTATTATAGATTATTTTGCAGTATGACTACGTTGATAAAGGAAAAGATTTTTCCTTTTCTTCTCTTTGAAATTTCTGTAATACAGTTACAACATAAAACAACATTTTTAAAAATTCAGGAGTAGTAATTTTTTTTACAAATTTACCATGGAGTGTTTTCTGGAATCTCTTCACACTGACCATGTCTTTTGTTAATTGAAATGTTTTTCCTTCAGTTTCAATAGTGAATTCCCTATTTTAAAAAAAACCAACACACGTAATAGTTAAAATATGCATCTCTATGCCTTCATTTAAACAAGTTTTGCAGACTGATAAATTGCTTTTCACTTTAAGTACAATATAAATTTGGTCACCTCTCTTGGTATGATAGTTGAAGTCAGATCTAAATTATCTCATAAGTAATACCAAATTAAGCATCACCCTAATTATGACACCAAATAATATTCTGGGGAGACATGCAAAAGTTGGATTCATTTGTAAAATTCCAGAAATGACTTAATGACAAATTCTTCCAGCTTTGAAATCAAGGCTAAACCAAAAACAAGTTTTTAAAAGCTCAGTTTCATGATAACACATCTGACATAAACAGGTCTGCGGGTAAAATGGCTACTATTCCCTTTACTGTCCCAACAACTGTACAATATGAGCCAGCTTGCCACCTTACAGAAAGAACCTTAAAACTCCCACACTATTTCTAAACTAAACTAGCACTTACGCTGATGAAGATAAGGTTAAAAGAAGTTCAATGACTGTGCCATGTGTTGACATAGAGTACTGTCCCACCCCTCCCACCCGTCACTGGCTGCCATATTCCGTTACAAAACATTTCACATAATGCCTGTATTTCAGCTTAGGAAGTATTTTCTCACATCATGAAGATCTGTTCCGATTTCTCTGGCATTCACTCAGAGCAGCTCAGTTCTGAGAAAGAGCCCTCATGTGGCTGTCCTGAAGCTGTACAGCTGGCATACACTATAGCCGCATTTTGCTAGTTTCTACCAGTGACAATTTCATGCCTCATTTGAATGTTATAACTGGTTTCTTCTGGTTTTGCTGTTCTGTCTGAAGTTTGTGTGTGCAGGCATTACATACCTACAGTGTCACAGGTATTCTCTCTCAGAATACCACTCTAAGTACAGAGTAGATAACTGCTATAAAAGAGCTGTAATTAGCAGAGACAGCCATTACTTGAGAATTCATAAAACAAACTGCCTTATTTGTGAATAATGACCTCTAACTACTGATATAACCATGTAGCTCAGAAATAGGCCTGCTGATAAAATCAGCATTGTTCTCATGACAATGGATGTTCAACACCTCACTTGATATTGTTTTGGCACTGCTGGAACATCAGAAATGTTTTAAACGCTACCAGTCACAAAATGGATACTTTTATCTCCAACTTGACAAAGTTCATCTTATTTTAGTTTTTGACAAGTATACATATACAACCACCATAGGCCAGAACGCTCCCTTAGCTCCCTCTCTCAGCCAATCACATATCTGCTTTCTGTTATCAAAAACTGTATTTCTCTTGCCTAGAGTTTCACATATAAACTGTAGTGTAAGGCTTCCTTCATTCAGCTGAATGTCTACAGTGGGTTGGCAAATCTGTGAAGAAGCAGATATGAAATACACAGGACTTGGGACCGTATGTGATTGCTTGTATTATTTTTTATGTTATTTTTGGTATTCTTTGTTTTCTTGAACAACCTCTTGAAAGTGCAAAAACCATTCTTAGCTAGAGGTATGTAACAAAAAAAGTATAACTGATGGTTAGCCTGCACTTGAAAGAATATGTACTCCAGTTACTAGAAAGACTGCTCTGTAAGTAGCAGATTGAAATGATTAAGAGTGTTTATATCTTCTAACTCATTTTGATGTTTGTCTACTTGCTCTCTACCAGTTACTGAGACCGACATGCAAATCTCCAACTGTAACTGTGGAATTCATCTGTGTTTTGTCAGTTCGTTCCGTGTATTTTGGGGTTCTATTTTAGCTGCACATGCATTTAGGAGTGATGCCCTCTTGGTGAACTGACCTGTTTGTTATCAAATGCCCCTCTTTGACCCTGATCATTTCCCTTGGTCTGAGTATTAATTTCCTTTGTTTAATAGTAACACAACCATTCCAACTTTTGGTTAATATTTGCATGAAAGACTTCTTGATTCTTTTACTTTTAAATATATTTGTGTACTACTGCTACAGTGAGCTTCCTACAAACAGTATTGAATTGAGTCTTGTATTTTCAGTCAGTCAATGGCTATTCATTCCAGTGCTTAAATCATTTTATTAAATGTAATTATTGATATTACTGAGTCTAAATTTGCCATCTCACTGGTTATTTTCTATCTGTTCCATCTGTTCTTTGTTCCTTTTCCTCTTCTACTGTCTTCTTCTGGAATATTTTTTATTGTATTTTAATTCAACTTTGGTTTAACTATGCTTCTTTGGATTTTGTGATTTTTCCAGGTAACTGCTCTGGAGTTTACTGTGTGCATTTTCTAACTTATCAGAGTCTTCCTTAAATAAAATCACACCACTTAACATATAAAATATGTATTTTATAATAGCATATTACCAATTCTTTACTCTCATCTTTTGTGCTATTGATGGCACACACTGTACCTGCCTATATAAATTCACTATATATTGCTGTTTTTACTTGAACTGTTTTCATTTGAAAGTACTTCTTTACTTTTATAAAAGACATTTTTGCTGGGTGTAGAATTTTTGTCTTTAAGCACTTTAAAGATTTCATTCCATTTACTGTGGTCTGCATAATTTTTGGCAAACTATCATTATCTTTGTTGGTTGTTATACAATGTTCCCCTCCCCTGCTTGCCAGATTTTTCTCTTTATCTCTATTTTTCAGTTTGATTCTCATATGCCTTCGTGTGGTTTTGTGTTTAACCTGCTTAAAGGTAAGCTTCTTGAATCTCTAGGTTTGTAGTTTTAATCAAATTTGAAAATGTTTCAGGTACTATATCACCACAAATTTTTTTCTACTTACCCTCTTTCTTTCTGTGACTCTCAATTATGTTAAACTGCCTCCTACTACTCCATGAGAATTTTTTTCTCCAGTCTCTTATTTTCTATGCTTTGGTTTGAATAGTTTCTGTAACTATGTCTTTATGTTCAATGATTTTTCTTCTGCAGCGTTTAATCTACTCTTAGTTTCCAGTGAAATCCTCACTTGAGGTATTACCTCTAGGTGTTCCATTAGGTTCTACTTCCACATCTCCCTCAATACGTTCATGCTTTAATATTCGTGAGACCAGGAAGCATATTCATAACTACTTTAATATCCATACATATTATTATATAATTGTTTTCTCCGGGTGTTTCTTTCAACTGACTTTTCTCCCCATTATGAGCTGCATTTTCCTTTCTCAGGTATAGAGTAATTTTTTATTGTTTGCCAGACATTATAAATTTTACACTGTTTAGTGCTGGATAGTTTTTAAAATTCCTTTAAACACACCTCTGTCTCTTAAAATCATGCTTCAAGCAATTTCATAAAAAACTTCAAAGGAGGAGCAAAAACTTGAGAGATTCAGCTTTTAAACCTTCCCGAGACACTACCTTAGACACATCTCCTCCTCTAAGAAAATTATTAGAAAAATAAGGATTTTTATAGTCCATTTCAAATTTACTTCTAGACTAAGATGTCAAAATCCTAGCAAAGACAATCATCCAAATACAGCCATGACACAGTTCTTTTCTGCAAAACATTTCTACAAAAACTAATCTCACCCTAACTTTTAGAAAGACAGAAACAGGACAGATCTGAATGGAGCTCACATAAAAGTAACCATCTTTAACTTACCCTTTCTCATTTAGAAGCTTCTCCATTTCCGTAATATAACATTCATCACAAATGGCAAGGTACTCCATCACCAGTTTTGCATCCTTCTTATACGCCTTACCAACTGCTCCCTTATTGGGTTCAAACTGAACAACATTAACTGTTTTGTATGAAATAGTCAAGGAATCACAAAACATGGCACTATCTCAGTGTTTTAGAAAGTGGCCTTGAAATCAATCAGCAACTCACAACCAACACGTAGTTCTCTAGTAGAACCTTACATCCTGTTTGTTTATGCTGATTTTAAGTGAAAAATGAAATAAGTAGCTATATGATCATTCAGAGAAACTTCACTTAGAAATAAGGAAAGACGATCAAAGCTACATTTCAGCTGGGCATGGTGGCACACGCCTGTAATCCTAGCACTTGTAGGCTGAGGCAGGAAGATCACTGCAAGTTCGAGGCAAGCCTGGGCTACAAAGTGAGCTCAAGCCCAGCCTGAACTACATAGCGAGACTCTGTCTCAAAGACCAAAAAAAAAAGCTACATTTCAGGAGTGAGAGAAAAAGGGTATTATTTAATGGGCAGTACAATTCAATCCCTAGCATTGAAACTTTTGGTAACATTTATTCTAAAATGTCTAACACATTGCTTGCCTGGCAAGCCTGAGGTCATGAGTTTGATGCCCAGTACCAAAAAAATAAAAAATAAAAAATAAAATAAAATGTCCAACACAGTAAGATTACAAGTCCAGAGAATGGGAAACAAGCAATGAGGGAGGTAAACTCATAGGCTTACACAAGTGCTACAACAATTCCAGTCATCTCCACCCATCCACAGAACGAGATCCAGCCTGGGACTTACACATCAGTCAATTTGGCTTTAGCCCCAAACATTTGGAGTGACCAGAAAGGATATGGGTTCTTTCAGGGGTTTCTCAGCTACAAGAGGGACTTTGGTGGCTCGTGCATGACAGGAAAGGTCATAACAGGAACGATCAGCACATCCAACAATCTCAATCCAGCCCTAAGAAGACAGAACAATAAAAAACATTTACTGCTCACACTCCATTTGTTCACAAATGCATCAAGATAACTAACCCTTTGCAACATTCAAGGACAATTCAATTAAAGGACCACCTACCAGACTTCATAAATTTTTGAAAAGATAATAGTTTGATATGTTAGGCAGCTAACATGTCCTATAAAATGTAATTCAATTGTACACAAAGCAGTCATATTTCCTGGATGATTTACACTGCCACATTTCAACTGTGCAGTAAACATATTTTAGGAGTTAATTAAATAAATGGGAACCTAGATAAAAGCTATAGATATGGTTCAAATTTGTAAGTAAGATTCAAGATGAATTTGGCAGAAACCATACTCCCAATGGATGAAGTACCTACTGACTGCACAACTTGCCATCAGATGGCTGGCTAAACACAACTCCTCTAGCTATGAATGTCAGCATCTGTGCTAAGTTTACTAGACAAAAGAAAACTCAGTACAGACTACACAAAGGTTAGGTTGCAGAATAAAACTGCAGCATTACAATCACATTGGTGCCAGTGAGTTCATTCATCACTGGGGAAAAGGGTGTACTGGGGACTGAACTCAGGTCAGGGCCTTCACATCTACATCCCAAGCCCTTTTTAAATTGAATATCTGATCCTCCTACCTCAGCCTTTCACAGTGCTGGGATTACAGACACATACCATCACATTTGGTTTATACGATAGTTTTAAAAAGCAAATTTTTACATGATTTTCAAAGAACCTACCATGGATTGACTGCTTATGCGTCTCCAAAATTTTTAACCTCCAGTGTAAAGGATGAGGAGACTTTAGAAGGTGATGAGGTCACGAAAGCAGAGCCCTAATCAATGGGATTAGCCCTTACAAAAGAAAGCCCAGAGAGCTTTCTGATGTCTTTCCACTACATAAAGACATAACAAGATCATAACAAGATCTCAATCTGCAACTCTTATCAGAACTATACCACACTGGTGCCCAATGACAAAGAAAGTATGTGAGACCCATATGTGATTCATGAAGCCAAATGTATTCACTTCTTCACCCCTTATAATGTCTGCCAGTCCCCATTACACAGAAGCCACATAAAACTCTCGTAGGAAGAGAGGAATACAATTAGAAAGTTCAACTTTCTACATGATGTTCTTCAGAATTATTTTTATCTTTCACTTTTGTAAAAATAAGCCCTAACTTTTTAGTATGACTAACTTTATTTTTAATTAGAAAATGAATCAGTAAAAAACACCTCTTTAAAAAGTGAACCCAATGGTCCTGAGCTAAAGTAGTCTATGTAGATGGAGAGGTCTCCCCCTTCCACCAAGGGGAATGCCAGGCTCTCAGGCCCCTTGCTGTGGAAGCCCTGAGGCAGGGCAACTCTCCCTTATTCAAACATCTTTTGTGGCAAAGCCTCAGTATTTGTGTTTGTATTTGATGGGGTGGGAGCACCAGAGAGGAGGTAACCTGGAGATCTCTGAATGTTACGAAGTACACAGAATTTGAGAAAAGACAGTTCTTAATGAGATCAAAATCTACTATTCTATTCCCTAAATCTACCAAATAGGCTAAGATCACTATAACTTTGTTTACTCAACCAGACCACCATGTCTGACGTTCACTGTCCCTCAGGAATGTTACTTACAACACGGGCCACCCCACGAGCATGCACCTCAGCACTGCCCCACCCTCTACCTTCTCTTGTTCTCTGAACAAGCTGCCAAATTTCCAAAGGCTCCTCCCGGGACACAAAGTAGGTCCTTCCTTAAAGAATGCAGGAGCCAAGTACTTTTTCTGTGTTTTTGTTCATTTAAAACCTACTTTATTTTCACTTATACCAGAGCAACTGTTCTCTAGCTGGATATACACTGGACAGGTCCCCTCTGGGTCACGGTTCATTAACTCAGGAAATGGCCAGCCCAGCCTCTCTATCTATACCATTCTCTAACTTATGAGGCTGAAGCAAATTCCCCTGGGGAACTTTTTTTCCTATTTCATAGGAGGTTTTTATTTTTATATGTTTATTTTTTTAATTGAAAATTTAAATTTTAAATTGACTTTTATAATTAAATTATTTTAAACTGACAAATAGCTGCATATATTCAGAGAGTAAAACGTGACATTTTGATACATTCATACACTGTAGGATGAGCAAATCAGACTAACTTAATATATCCATCACCTTATGTACTTATTTCTTTGTTGTGAGAACATTTAAAATCCATTCTTTTAAGAATTTTGAAGTTTATTTATTCTTATTATTATTATTAACCATAGTTACGACACTGTGCACCAGAGCCCCAGAACCTGCTCCTCCTCCCCGTGAAACTTTGTTGCTTCTGCCCAGCGTCTCCGCTGTTCACCACAGGCACCGGCCTCTGGTAACCTCCATTCTCCACTTCTATGAGTTGGGCTTTTTCAGAGTCCACATAAAAGTGAGATCCTGCAGCGTTGGGGTTTTTTTGTTTGTTGTTTTATTTAGTATAATATCCTGTACACTTATCCACTTTGTTGCAAGGGACAGAATCTCCTTCTTTTAAAGGCTAAATAGTACTTAGTGTGTGTCTATACCAAGTATTATTTCATTCATTCATCCACTGATGAGAACTTGCTGTTTTTACTTTTTTTGTTTTGTACAGACAAAGTTCTCCTTTTGTTCCACTCTGCCATGAAGCGTACAAAGGGCAATCCTGGTATCTGTTTTTCTAAGTTAATGTGAAACCACTCCAAAAAGCCATTCCAGTCTACATACATAGGACGTTTTGGACTCAGCATCCCAGCAGTCACAGGCATAGTGAGCCATCTCGTTCTCCATGTGCTGCCGGAAGCGGAGTTTGTCTGGAGATACGCCAACCTTCATGAGGTAGAGGTAGATGCGGCCAATGAAATAGCCTAACACTGAGTTGTTGATCACCCCCTAAATAAATATGCAAGCAAGCACAGAGAAAGGAAAAGGATAAATACACTTAATGACTAACTCATAATGTACTGAGAAACGTTCAAAACAGAAGGCAAATTATTTTTTCCTGCTTTCAGAATACTTTCAAGTACCCAGAATGTGATCTTGATTATTTTTAAAGAGGTTAATGTCAAGTTAACAACTGTTAAGAATGGGGTTGTTCAAAATATGTCCAACATACTCAACTAAGTCAGAAAAAAATCAGCCCAACGCTACATACCTTCTAAATCTACAGTGCTAAAGATAATATCCACAAATACCCCAAAGCATGGTAATGACATTTCCTTCTGAATTAATAAAATTAATGCGACATGTTGAGGAAGTGTTAATGCATTCTTTGATGTACCCACTGAAATTTGTGTGCCCTCTACAGAACATGTGATACTACAATTTTAGTACTGGAAGGATCTTAGAAATCATCTAGCCCCATCTGTAAAACGGCCAACCTCTCCTTGAATATTTTTAGGGCCAGGACGCTCACTGTTGCCCAAGGCAAGTCATTCCACTGCTAGGCAGCAGTTACTGTTACAAAGTTTTCACTCACTCATTTCTCAGGCAAACATGCAGGAATTCTGCTCATGCAAGGCCTTATCCTGACTGCTATGAGTAACGCAAGAGGTTTGAATCCGGTGGGCTTGCTTTTCCCTGAGTTAAATCCTGTCGCCCCCAAAGTTGTACACACTTAAAAAAACTGCGTCGGTGAGGCAGTTCTAATCAAGATCTAGTTTTCAAGTGCTCTGCTAAATAGTTCTTCCACATTTAGCCCCATGGTCAAGAAACCGAGATGTTCAGATTTTTCTCTCACTATAACACTGAGCTATAAATACTGTATAAAAACAAATACTACAGAGGGGTTAAAGCTGAAGTTAGTGTACATAAGGCTCTGGGCTTAAGCCCTAGAACTGCAAACAAACAAAATACAACATAATGTGACTGTATAAAAAAACAAAATGACTGCTAAAATATTTTTTCATCCAGTATACAAAGAACTCGGTAAGTGTTGCAAGCCTTGAACGGGCATGATCTAAATTAAGTCCTCTGGAATCTTACCTGTTCAACAGCATCCCCTAGGCGCATTTTCCGAGCAGACTGCCCAGTGACTTGGGCTTTTGCTGAATACAAATAAAGATAGATGTCTGCTACATTCTGGAACTTGGGATGGTCTTTCTCATTGGGATCTACAAAGTGCTCAATTTCTGCCATTGTGAATTCTCTGAAAGTAAAAACAGAACAGATAAAAATCTGACTACTTAACAATGAAAACAATAAGGCCCCTATTTTCAACTTCATTCTACAATGATGTAGGCCTCAAACTACAGAAATCGCTTATCACTAAATACAAAATTATTTCCTAAGTGAATGACTAAAACATTTTGGATTAGGTTTGTCTAGGTGATTGTTATTTATTAAAACATTAATAACTGGCCTGGGGATACCTCAGTGGAAGAGTATATACTTAGCATACCTAAGACCCTGGGTTCAATCCCCAGAACCAGAAGTAATAACATAATAACTTTATTGCTCACTATTGAAAATAATCAAACTTCTCTCAAATATTAATTCCTTCTATCTAGTGACATTACTTACAACTGAAAATTATTTTTACAAAGCAGATTGATATCACTTTTTTTTTTTTTTTTTTTTGGTACTTAGAATCAAACTCAGGACCTCATGGTTGCCAAGCAGGGGCTGCACCTCTGAGCTACATCCCCAGCCCTTAATATAGCTTACAAAATTAGAAAACATAACCAAATGCCACACACACATAAAGAAAAAAGATACTGAACAGTGATATCCAAATCAAATAGTTTTCCCTAAAGCACCAGTAAGTCTTTATAAATATACACTAAATGCAGCAACTGTTATTTATTCTTGAAAGAATGGGAAATTAAAACTGTAGTGAAATGGTACTTTCATTTCTATACCAATGTGATTTCTTCTTTTTTACTGATCTAAACAAGTAAATGATTGATAATAGCACTATACAGACATTTCTTTAGAGTAACAGCTATTTAAATAAAGTGTTATTCAAGGCAAAGAACACGAGGCATGAATTGAACAAGCCAACATCAAGCTCACTGTATAATGAAGAAATAAATATGCACATAGCAATGGTTTCCCAAAGAGATTTCTCTGAATAGCAGTTTAGTAACTACTGTAGGGGAGGGAAGATTTTAAGTTAATTTTATGAGCCAAAATCAAATCTCTCTTCTTTTTAAAGAAAAAAAAATCTTATTTGCTGGTGTACTTTTGTGATTATCTCAGGTGTTTTAGAAACAACGTAAAACTGCTTAAATGATTCCTAAAAACACATGAAATACACTGCAAAAAAGTTTTACTTTTTAAATTTTATTTTTTAATAATATTCCTTATTGGGGTCTGCAGCACCCATGTCTTATAACTGTCTTTCAACACTATTTTTTTTTTATTTGATTCAAATTTATTGGTACAATTTAGGTATATATAATGATCACACTCACTGTACAGAATTTCTGTTTGTGAATGTCTTGATTCTTCTTTTTTTACTTCATTTCCATCCCCTCCCTATTCACAAAACTGTTTCCATTTTATCCTTCTTTTCTCATTTTTTTCTTTCCCTTCTTTCCTTTCCTTCTCCTACCTCCCTTAGTTCCCTTTTCCCTTTGAACAGTTTCTTCCTATTTCCCAATATCTATTGTACATTTTGGTTCTTACAGTTTCAACACTGTTAAACATCTGCACACACAGGAAAGTGAGAGAGAATACTATTTGTCCTCATCCAGCTTGCAACTAGGCTAACAGGAACCAAACATCTACAAGGTGGGACAGACAAATTAATAACCCAGAAAGGTGCTGCCGAAGTTTTTCCTTCTGTTCTGTCAGAAAATCTCAGTGACTATAACTAGTAATAGTGTGCTTGAAACAGTATGCTTGAAGTTTGCTGAGAAGATCCTAAGTATTCTCGAGGAACGATAAAGGAAAGCTAGGAGATAAGGAAAAGTGTAATATTAAAATTATACTTCTAAAAAAAAAATACTGCAACTTTAGGACACAAAGTCAAGCTTTTTTTTTCCCCCTTCCAGAAAAAACACCTACAGGCCTTGAAGACAGCAAGTCTGTAAACTGGGCTCTGAGCCGTGCTTTTCATCTGTAGGCTGCGCTCCCTCCTACCAGCCCTATCCGCAGGAAGCGCCACTGAGAACAGCATAGCTCAGCTTCAAACATGTGCATCTGTAAATGGTTTGCATTTTAACAAAGCCCACCAAATGGGTAAACCCAACGGACGCTAGAATTCATATCCAGGTAACTCATTTGGGACCCTCCTGAGGCCCATCAATACAGCAGCTCAAGGGCATAGGGCGCCTCTCAGTTTTGAGCGCCTGCACTCTATTTCTTTGAGTGTGTACTTTTAAAATTCTACCTAATAAATTCTTGTATGCCTCTTACTGACATCATCTTGAAGGTTCTTTTCCTGTGACTGAAGTTGGTGAAACTACATCCTATTCCCTGAGTGGAATGAGTCAAGTTTCCCCGGCTCTGCTTTGGGGATTTTGGGTGACTGTCCAGTGGACATACTCACCACCCAAAATATGAAAATAGAAAAGGTAACTATTTGGGCCAGTGAGTATGTTAATTAGCTTGCCAGTGGTAATCATTCACAAACCAGAGGTAAGAAACAACACTCACACTGGTTTGGTCAGCTCTGCCTCCTGTCTTTGAATTTAAGCCCTTTATCTGAAATTGTGGAGAACTAAACTACACACAGGTCAGGAAGACAGAAACAGACAATCAAAGATTTTTTTTAAAAGTTCTATTTATGGGGTAAAAAGTAATGTTATGATTTTTAATACAATATGGAATGACTGAATCAACCTGATAAACTAATCCATTACAAATATTTAATACTTTAAGATGAGAACATTTGAGATGCTGATACTGTCTTAGCAATACTGAAATGTGAAGCATGTGATCAGCTATATTCACCATGCTGTGCAACACATTTAAAAACAATAATCCAATAAGCCCTTACTCCTCCTAGCTATCTCAGACTTTGTACCTTCTGATTGTTATCTCCTCACCCTCCCTGGCCTCAGTATCCAGTAACCATTCTACTCTCTGCTTCCATGAGTTCAACTGTTTCAGATTTCACAGAATAAAAATTTTAAAAGCTTCATGAGCAATCTAATAATACTAATTTAAATGAAAGGAACTGTAACTAGAGACAACTCACCTCATGACCCTCACCAAGAAGCTGCTGTACTGCTAACAAACTAAACCGAGTCATACACAGCAATGCTAACCCATGAAACAATGAGTGAACTCCTGGTCAGGAACTTGCAAAGGTGCATAGCAAGCAGCTGAATCCAGACAGGACACTCTGCAGTGAAAATGCCCAACAGTTGGGAAGCTCCCTGGCTCTCCCACCAGTTAACCCTTGGGCTCACTCTTCAGTTCTGAGCTGATTTTCCTACTTCACAAGCAACAGACTCTGTTCTTACTTCTTAATCATTTTATATTCTTCCCATAAGTACTCCATTTAATGCAAATCCTCTCCAAAACACTGGCTTTAGACAAGGTCAGTCTTATCCAACTTCCTAAGAATTAGGAAAGTATGCCTGCCAGACATGGTTGGAATAGTAGAAACCGAAAGACAAAAACAAAAACAACTCCAGACACTGGGACTCGTATCTGACCACCATTCTTTTTTCTTTTTTTCCGTACTGGGGATCAAACCCAGAGCCTCATCAATACTAGGAAAGCTCTCTATTACTGGGCCATATTCCCAGCTTTAGCCTATCTCCTATCTTATCTTGTCCTATCCTATCCTCCTATCCAATCTTATCCTATCCTATCCTATCCTATCCTATCCTATCCTATCCTATCCTATCCTATCCTATCCTATCCTATCCAAAGACAGGGTCTTGCTAAGTTACTCAGGTTGGCCTCAAATTTACTATCTTCCTATCTCTCAGCCTTCTGAGTAGTTGGAGTTACAGATGGTTTTGTTCCTATAATACCTAGTTAAAGTTTCTAATGCTCTCTTCTTTCTACATGAAAGTCCAAGAGGGACCTCTCACACCCTTCCTCTAGGTTGTACACATCTTTCCTCCCTAGTCTCCCTCCTAAACCACAAGCACAGTGTGACAAGACAAGGGCCTTTCCTCAGAGGGAACCACATGACTAACAAGCTCGGGCAGGTGCTATGGGTGCTTTGATCTGGAGTCAGTGGCTGGGACACACCATGACTGAAGTCTGTAATTACAGTAAGTAAAAGAAGAAGAGAAGAAATGGTGACATGCTGGGCCTGGGACAACACCTGGACTAGGAACCTAAGAAAGTTAAGTGTGACCAGACAACCTAACTTTATATGGAATGTATCACTCTAAGATGAGACCAGGAAGTAAACATGTAGAAATCTCAAAAAGCTTAAGTCATGAACAGTTAAGTCACAGTATTTTTGAAGAAAAATAGAACTAAAGACTGCCAGTGTGTCTTCCCACACATCCCTGGACACATCAGACAAAGTATGGCCTGAGTTGAGACAATCAGGATCTTAACTTCTCAATACATGATGAGCAAGACAAAAAGATAATTTCTGAGCAAGCAAGAAGGTATTTCCCACCCCTCCTTGCTTCCCCTGTAAGTTAGTTCACTTATGTCACTCAAACTGCCAGTCACCTCTGAGGTGACATCTGGAGATTATAAATGTAAAACACGAAGAACACAGATAAGACAAACAAGCAAACAAACAAACAAATCAATCATCAGGGTTAAAGGAATATTGTTTCAAAATAGTGAACTTTCATTTCTGTTTCAATGACAAGGGCAGTACCTGACTCGGATCAGCCCAGACCGAGGGGAGATCTCATTTCTAAAAGAATTTCCAATCTGGGCAGCAGCAAAAGGCAACTTCCCTTGGTTGAATTCCAAAAGTCGTTTGAAATTCAGGAAAATCCCCTGTGCAGTTTCTGGTCTCAAATACCTATAAATTTAAGTAAGTGAGTATGTTATAAAGAAAGAAATTCTGTTTTCTAACAAAATTTTAGATACAAATTTTAAAAGTCCCAAATATACCATTTTCACAACACAGCTGCATAAGCCTAAAATGAAGTCTTAGAAGGAGGTATTTTCTTCAGTAGCCAATATCCCCATAACAAGTATTAGAAAGTAGATCAGTTACTCCAGTGGTAAAGCACCCTTTCTCAGGATTCCCCTGAAACCTCTGCTGTTCTCTTGAGCAATCATTTACATCAAGGTAGATGATGACTTTAGTTCCTTCTGAAAATAAGGCCCGTGGCTAATAACCCCAATATTAAAACGTAACTGTGGGGTCAAGATGAAGTCAGTATGGGCTAAGGCTTAACATTAGAGCTCATTTATCATTCATAATCACCTTACCAACAGGCAATTGTCAATGTTTCTCCTGTCATTTTTACTCTTTGTGGTATTTTATATTTTCAGCTAGAAGCTTCTGTATTTCTCTATTAATTGAAAGATATAGCCAAGCAACAATACATTATTATATCCACTTCCTGCTCCTCAATTTCACAGAAAACATTCTATGCAAAATATCTACTAAGAAAGTGTTCCCAATGACCTACTTCAAAGTATTTTACTAAAGTAACTTTAAAAAAAGGGAGGAAGAAAGCCCTAAAATTTTACCATGTTCTCACTCAAACGGACTGACTCGTCCATTTTCTTGTGGTCCTTTCCAGATTTCACCCAAATAAAAGTATTTTATATAAGCTAGTTTTATGCATATTTATAAGTAGTGTGTATAAATTATGAATTCATTCTTCTGCTTACTTTATACATTTCCATGTTCTAAATAACTGTAAAATTTTCTCATATTTAGCAGCGGCAGAGCATTTTACTAAAATGATCTATGTTTTTCATAATTTGTGTAGTTATTCTCAAATTAATGGGTAAGTTATTTCTATTTTTAATTCACATCGTTTTTATAGGTATAGTTTCTTTTCTTTCTGAATTGTGCCCTTAGATAAATTCCCAGGAATGGACTGCCTGGGTCAGAGGTTATGTCCCATTTTATGATTTTCCATATGTACCACCACAATAAAAGGCTTATCAATAGCCTCTCTGCATGAAATATCCCAAGTCAACCTGCTATCTTATTAAAGTTATTGTATGACACATTTTTTCACAATTACCTTTTAATTATTCTTTAGTTTCTTCTCCAGAAAACACTGATTTATCTAGCTTTCTCTAGCAAAAACTCTTACACTAAAACAAGACTATAAAAAAATATCTGATGCTATGATGTGGAACACTGGCTAAGTCTATTACTATTAAACAAAGAATCTAGAGATACAGCTCTTAATTCTAACTGTACTGTAAACTGTCCAGGTGTGCTTTGGTCTACGAAAACCACATCTTTCAAATCAACAGACTATACCAATGCTCTCCGCTAGCTGGATGTTTATTTAAATATAAATTAATTAAATGAAATACATTTAAAAGTTGAATTCTTCAGAAGCTTTAGTCCTACTTCAAGAACTAAATAGTTTCATGCTGTTAGTAGCTACCACATAAGACAGATTTTTATTTATTTGTTTTTTTGGTTTTTTTGAGACAAGGTCTTGCTATGTAGTTCAGGCTAGCCTCAAATGTGATCCTCCTGCCTCAGTCTCCTGAGTGCTGGGATTACAGGCTTGACCATCATGCCTGGTGGACAGCACAGATTACAGAACTCTTTCATCACTGCAGAAAGTTCTATTGAACCATATAGACTAAATGGCTTGTAAAGTACATTTCAACAAGAAGTTCAATAACATTAAAAATCACTCAGCTGTCCCTTCTGCCCTATGCAGCTATGACTGGAAGATATAATGATCACAGACATTTACACTTACTTTACAAAAAAAAAAAAAAAAATTACACTAAAGAAGAGATTATAATTCAGAAGAAATCAGAATAAAACTTAAGACTATCATTACTTCTCTTTTAACACATCCACCTGCGCCTTCTGACATCACTTTTCAAAACTGCTCTCACAGCATTGATGCTGCAAGCCATTTTAATAACTGTTACATAAGAGGAAAAACAGTAAGTAATACGTACCCAGGCATATTTCCTCCAGGACCAATGAAGGTCTTGAACATTAAGTTAAAAGGTACAGGGGGTGACAGATCATTTCCAGTGCTTGGGGACTTTACATTATAATTCACAAAAAGATCCCCAAGTTCTTGCTGTCCATAGTTATCAAGCTAAAGAATATGTCAAGAAAATAATTAGTAAAAACAGAGGGGAAAAAAAGACATGAGATAAATTATTACATATAATTCCATTCATCCATTGCTACAACTCATATCAAATTTAACATTAGCTTTAGCCTAACCTTCAGGGTATCCATATGTTTCAAATCACAACGAGTTTATGCACTTTGTATTTCCCAAGAGAGGAAAAAAACAATCTTTCTGGACTGACCTAACACATGTCTGCCACTTCACCATGAAAAATACAGGAAGATATCTCTGTCCAGTTAAAGGTTAGCAAGAATGTGAAACCATATACTTAAGTAACTTTTCAAAGTTGAATATTAGCACTCTGAACAAACTTAAGAGGTACATTTCCTTGCCAATTAACTACATATGCTACATAAACTTTCTTTCCTATTAGATATTAAGCTCCTTAAAGGTAGAAACTGGGTCCTATTAATCTCTGCATTTTCCAGTGTTCTGTACATTCTATATAGTGATGATCAATGACAAATCCTCTAAAATGATGTATAAGCTCCAGTTTGAGAATTTCAAAAGACTACAACAAACCATGTAATAGTAAAGAACACTTAAAATTTTTTAAAATCTCCTGATAGAAACAAAAGATTTCAATAAATCATCTTCTCACCATATGAACCAAAGCTCTGAGAAAGACCCAGGTATATCTCCAGCCCTACCATTCATGGGTCATGTGACTTAAGATTAAGTTCTAACCTAATGTCTATGAGCTTGTTTACTTATTTATTAAATGGGAGCACAGCATCTATCCTACTAAGAAGGGCTACTATGAAGATTAAATAAAATACATAAAGAGTTTAGCATAGAACCTGGCACACTGTACCTCTTTGATAAAGGATGACCATCTTTGATCCCATCATAAAATCAAAGGTCATCTTCACTCCACAAATAGACAACTCATACTAACTACATGTTTCAGATGTGAATAAATAACTTAAAAAATTAAGTCTTCTAGGCTCTCTTTCTATGGACTTTCTAGAAAAAATTCTCAAAATACTTTGTCATTACAGAACCCATAAGGAATCTGTTCCAGTAACCTTCAAGATATGAATATCATAAATATAAACTGGTCTCCTTGCTTAAGAAAGAAGTCAGAGTCTGAGGAACATCTCTGTTATTCAGGTAATTTGAGAAATACAGTGGTTTTCAATAAAAGAAATGAAAAAAGAAACCAGGCAGTAAAAGATTATGAGGATACAGAAAGGAATCAAAATCTCTATCAGGGGAATCTGGTAATACCTAACAAAATCACATTTGCATTTTTGACCCATGAATCTCATTTCCAGGAACTTATCCGAAAGATAAAATAGCAAAAACATAAATGACATAAACATAAGGTTATTCAATGCAGCCTTAATCTGCAAAGGTAAAAATGAGAAATAACACAAATGCCCATCAATGAAGGACTGGTGATATCCACTACAGGAATACAATGACCAATTACAAGGAATAAAGAACAGCTCTGCATGTTGCTATGGAGACCCCTCTGTGATATTTTGTTATGTAAAAACACCATGGTACACAAAATTATGTATAGAATTCTATCATACACCTAAAAAGGGGGCAGATATATATATTGCTTACTATTTTGCATTGCTATATAATTTTATACTGCAATATAATTTTATATTGCTATAAAATTGCTTACTTATGGGATTGGAGGGAACAGGAACAGACACTACTACTATTTGAATATACCTTATTTTGGGGTTTTTTTTTGTCTTTTTGAGACAGGATTTCACTATGTAGTTTAGGCTGGCCTTGAGCTCACTTCGTAGCCCAGGCAGGCCTCAAACTCATGGTGATCCTCCTACCTCAGCCTCCCAAGTGCTCAGATTACAAGTGTGCGCCACCATGCCTGGCCTATACCTTGCTTTTTAGATTTAACTTTGGAGCTATGAAAATTTGACATAATTAAAAAATATATTTTAAAAGTGAAAACCTAAAAACACAATAAAATAAAACACATGCATATATCTAGCTGATTATCTAACTACTGAAAGACTTCAAGTGATTTTAAATAAAATCATGTAGGACTGTACACCGCTAACATAACCTCTTAGAAAATAAACAGCAAAAAGAATGTTTAAACTATTGTTAATATTCATAATGTTGGCAGTGGTACTAGGATTGTTATTCTGATATAATTATTGTGGTATTGCAGAAAACTGGAATTTTTGATGTGGGTTAAGGAACAGATTTAAGGTTAATAAAGTAAAAATACAATAACTTTAAGTAAAATAGCAATATTAATTCATGATAATTATACCTTTAAAAAATACCAATTCCCTAGCTCAGTCCACTGCAAAGTTCTAGAACCAACGTCCACTGATAAAGACAAGGGCTCTTTGGAGGCATGGCTTACTGCATGTCTAAAACAGGAAATACACTATCTGAGCCTGTAGTTATTCTGTCATGACAAAAAGCAAGGAAGTTATCAAAGACTTCTAGTGCTCCACCGAAAGGACTCAGCAGCCAACTTCTGAGAGCCAAAGATGAGACAATTTAACCATCAGTAAGGTAATAACTGAAACTACCTAAAAAAGATCAAGTATTTTAATCTGTAAGTTTATAACAGAGAAGGAAAGAAAAGAGGGTAAGGCAGGCAGGATCTAAATATGCATTTCTGAAAGCTGCTAGGCAGTGACCAAAGCAGCTAAAGCAAGATCTGGGCAGAGTGGATCAAGCACATATTCTCACTTTTCTTCACAAACAGTGTCTCAAACAAATGCAATAGTAGGTAAGGGAAAGTTTTCCCATTTTCTGTTTTGCCAAAGCAAAAAAGGAACGACAAAATCATTTCAGACCTCAATCAATTAATGGATTCAGACAACGGCCATCACATACAGAAGTACATAAACCACTTACTTCTTGTCACAAATACTTGGCAAGCCTCTACACCTAATACAGAAACAACTGAAAATTTTAACATCACCATCACAACACAATCGGCCAGGAGCACATGAACAGTGACTAGTATATGATGATGCTAAAATTATTATTAACATTTCCCAAAGTATAAGGATTACGCTTCACTTTAAAAGAATTTTTATCTTTTAAATAGATACATATATGTATACAAATATATGCACACATACATATATAATGAAATATTTACAGATGTAATAAAATAATGTCTAAAATCTGCAAAAAATCAGGGAGAAGCGAAGCAAGATTTAAAAAATTTGAAAAGATTTGATAACGCTGAAGAAGACTTAATGAGTGCACAAGTGTTTATTACATTTCCTACTTTTATGTTTCAGAGTTTTCGTTTTAGAAAGTTTAAAAATGAGTTTACAAACTAGTACATTCAGAAATGGGTTGGCCAAAACAGCCAGAGAAAAGAAAGGACAATTCATCCTGAGTTATTAAATCCACATAACAGAAGCAAAATTACCCCTATCACAGAAGGTGAGCCGAGGCCCTTTAAAGAAACTATCATGCTTGAGAGTCAGAAAGGAACCAACAGCGTAATGAGGTGCAGCAAGCACCACTATGTGCTCAGACAACTGATGCGCTTAAGTCGAGTCTACTGCTACCACTTCCAAATGCTGAACAGTTCCCATGGGCCCCTTACTTGTCACTGAGCATTACACTGACAGCTGTGCACACACACACACACATATATGCTCCCCTAGAAAACAAAACAGAAAGCCAGTGCTCAAACTATAAATTATAACTCATCAAATCAAGTACTTCTGAATTCCAATAATTTACATGAAAATGAATGAAACCATTAGGATCAAAGACAACCAAAGAAATATACAAACAAAACCTGAGAAAGCTTGAAATTCTGAATAAGAAATGGAAGAATTTATGGGTAATTAGGGGCATCTTTCATTCATTTCTAATACAGCTTAAGCCTTTGGAAAAAGGAAATAAAATGAATGTGTGGCTATAAAAGTGTCAAAATACAAGGAGTCTTTTCTAAACCACAAGCTTCAAGCACAGGATTAAATATACTTCACAAGGGCCAAAATAAACTGGCACATGATTCACTAGCCAGATTAAGAAAGAGTCCAATTTAAACGAAGAAAAGAATTTCTCAGCTAATGTTGGAAACCTAGATATCACAGAGAAAAATTAGCATGTTTAAAAACAATTAGGCCAACAGTGGAAAAGTACCCAGTAACTCCCATGAGGAAAAAAAACCACGATGTTAGAAGCCCTATATTCAGCTTCAGATGTATCAATGTAAAGAAAACACAGCACTAAAATTTAAGAGGTAAGCCTTAGTGGACTTTATGACTAAACATGGTATTGGAGAAATATGTACTTTGTGTAAATGGAACATTTCACTGCTGAGGTGAGAAACCAGTAATTTGTGTATATTTATGGACATGTGTATGTTCCTAGGAAGAGGATGTGCAGTGTTCATTATAAAACTTTTTTTTTTTCAGTGCTAGGGACTGAACCCAGGGCCTTGCACATGTTAGGTTAAGTGCTTTACCACTGAGTTACATCCACAGGCCCCTCACCAAATTCTTAAGTCTGTGAACAGCCCCCTACACACAAAAAAAGATAAAGAACTACTGACACAGAAGGTACTTTTACACTTGGAAAAAGGGCCAGAATAAATTATTTTCATTTTGCTATTCTTGTATTTGTCAAATCAAGTACAATTTATAAAATTTTAGGATTATAGGCAAACTAAAAAAAGGGTAGAGAAGTATGTTTTAAGAGTAACAGCTCAGGCCGGGGATACAGCCCAATGGCACAAGCACCTGCATGGCAAGCCCAGGGTCCTGAGTTCGATTTCCAGTATCAAAAAAAAAAAGGAAAGAGTAACAGCACAAAATCAGTCACAGTCCAACCAAACAGAGGTTGATGACAGAATGTCACAAAGCCACCAGCCCCCAAAGCTCCACACCACTCCACATCAACACAGAACACTGTTCATTGGCAGTGACTTCACTGCCTTTAACTATTAAATCCAGAAAAGTGATTCCCAAGGACAGATAACTGACTGCTTTACACTGAGGTGGCAGTTCAGCCTGAAATCAAGGATTAGTCACCAAAGGTCAAGAAAAGGAGATTCCAGGAGACAGAAGCAAACTTTACTTCTTTACGATGGTGGCCAAGATCAACAGACATGGAATTCAACAGTTATCACATGCAGAAAGACAGCCCCTGCCCAGGTCACTCTGACAGCATCTCTGAAGTCCTCACCTGGGCCAAGACACTGTCCATCTCAGATTTCTTCTCAGCAGAGCACTTCTTATCAGACATCAATTTCTGTAAATGAGCTACAAGAACAGCATTGACATATGTCATTGTCACTCAATGGGAAAAAGCACTTCTGAGCTTCAATGTTGGGCAATTAAAAAATAAATGTAAGGTTTATGTTCTTAATTTATATGAATCCTACAACTGATTTTACAGGGACAGTTGCAGCACTGTATTGATTTACTTGCTAATTAGAAAATTTTTCTGTATTTAACTAAAAATATGTACATAATTTTTTAAAATAAGGGGTTTGATCTGTACACTTAAGATCTGTGTACTTTACTGGTTGTTACACCTTCAGGAAGAAAAAAAGAAAACATTTTGAGAGAAAGTTTAACTTAAACCCTGTTTTAGATCAGTTCTCCTTGAAGGAGATGGAGAACCATACCTTTTAATAGATGGTCGGCACGAAAACACTCTCCACTTTTTACATCTTTCACCATGAAGTCAGCAAATTTGTCTACATGGCCGGAGGTCCTAAGGTAAAAAATGCCAAGGCAATTTGTCATTCTCATACAAATCAATACATACATGCAGTGGTACCTCCGGTCAGGAATGCTTCTGTTTGCAAAAAATTTGGTCTGCAAACAGAAGCATTTGGCAAAATTTTGTTTTTGTTTGCAAACTGCGAAAGGTGACAAGCACAACCACAGTCACCTTCCCCACAAACACCAACACGGCCATCTCTTCCAAAATTGTAGAACAGATCAAGTTCACGAACTGAGGTACCACTGTATTCCTATAAGGCAACACCCCCTACAATGTTTGCCCATGATTTATATCTGTGTATCTACAAGATGGAAATTCCCATACCTATAAAAATGATATATCCATGACAAAACAGTACTATGTGCCAGAGAAAACTCTTCCTCAAGTCTTTCTTATCCTCTCCCAAGTTTCTATGGGAAGAAAGATGTTAACTACCTTATACCGTTTCACAAACTGTCATAAAGTCTGTACTACATTTTAGGAACAACTAATTCCTGCTTATGCCATTGTTATACATGACCTTATTAATAAGGCCAAACTCATCAGGAATCTGACTTGCCAAGAATTCGTGATGGCTCAGGATAAGACACTGACCTTAGGGAGAGTTTCCTGCCACTGAAACCTATAACAACACTGATAAATCTCTGCACAGTTCTTGGTGGAACAAGTACCTAAAAGAATAAGGAGTCCTTATTTTACAGACCCATCACCAGGAATTTCTTTTCTCTTAACTGGCTGAAAGTGTCAGAAGAACCCAAAGGGTGCTAATAAAAAAAATTACTTCTTTACTAAGCAGTAGTAAATGAATAATGAAGCTACAATTTTTTTTTTTTTTTTTTTTTTTGGTTTTTCTCCGGTACCGGGAACCAAACTCACGACCTTGCGCTTGCCAGGCAGGCGCTTCTGCCGCTGAGCTAAATCCCCAGCCCCAATAATGACACTACAAAATGGTAAAAATTCCTGTCAGTTACTGAATCCTGAACTATTTGCTAGAAATAATCTTTAAGTTCCTGCACTGAAATGTCAATGAAGTAGTAAGTATTGAAAATACATATACATCTTTGTTCACAACTTCTGAAAACTTAAGACTGAGGAGATAATCAGGGATACACTCAAAAACCCACAAATGGGGCCAAGGAGATAGCTCAGTGGCACAGTACCTGCCTGGCAAACCCAAGATCCAGAATTTGATTCCCAGTACCAAAAAAACAAAACAAAACCCCAGAAATAAGGATGCTCAATGCAATCAAAATTCAAAGTACCTTATACAATACAGTACTAACTAAATTACGGCATAGCCAAAAACAGAACACTATGCTGTCATTAAAAATGCTTTAGATGAATATTTAATTGCATGAGTAAATGTTCATTTACATTAAATGAAAAAAAAGCAGTGTGGTAACAATTCAAATACAGAAGAACATACAGGGGAAAAAAAGAGTGGAAGCATAAACACTTTTAAAAAGCTACCTGTGAGTAAGAGGTACATATTTTCTTTGTTTTTCTGTATTTTTCAGATTTTGAACACTGGTAGCTTTTGTCATCAGAAAGTTAAATATGTACAATAAAAAACTTCCACCTCAAAGTTGGGTCTTACTTCAAAACAGGCTCAGGGGTGAGCATGGTGCAGTCAATCTCCAGGATCTGCTCCTCCTGAATAAAGTGCTGCCTCCAGGTCTGAATAATGTTGTTCTTCAAAGCACATCCAACTGGCCCAAAGTCATATAAGCCACTGACACCTATAAAACACACAAGGAAAATGTGTACTTTGCTTGTCACACTGAATAAATGACAGCAAGACACAAGAAAATGATACCTCTAAGATTTCACAGACTCCTAAAAAGGTCTTTAAATTCAAACAATTCAAACCCCTTCTGACAGAAGTAAAATTTTAGAAGTTCTTATTCCATTTACTATTTCTGTAAGGAGGATTAGCCTCAAATTAAAGACACTAAAAATTCCCCCATATGCTTTTGCCCAAGAAACAGAATGAAAAAGTAGATAGTTTTCTGCCAGAGAAAAAAGAAAATAATTTGTCACAGAAACTGATGACAACGATGTAAAATTTCAGCCCCCAGTCTTCTACATTATTTTTGGGTATTTGAGCCACTGTTTAAATCTCAAGAAGCTACTAACTCTTAGAGATTTCCTTACCCAAACCAAAACAACTACCAGTGGTAAAGTACTAAAACTCTAATATGGCTGAAATGATCTCTGTTGAGTATGAAATATATCGCTCTACATTTTAATCAATGAATTATATTGACCTGTGGCATTCAGAAAGCTGATTTATCCATTCTCCAGGCAGACGCCCATAAAGAATAATCCAAGGACTGTTCTACCACCTCCCTTGTGTAGAGGGAACAACAGAACCAGCCAACACTACACGGTCCTCTACTGCTCCTAAGCCCCCGATACATTTTAAGAAGAGTGCATAACTGTATAATTATACAAACACATCACATGCTTAATAGCTAGGTCCACAATAATTTCTACAACCTAATAGAAAAAAAAGGGAGTCTTCAAAAATAAACAGGTGGACAAAAGTAAGTACCACACCAAGTGATAACTATAAACAAAAGCAAAATATCTACCCTCTGTGTTTTGCGCCTGATACAGTTAGATACCAAACCGCAAGCCATGTTCTTGATCTAAAGCCACTAACACAACTGTCCTTTCACCAGTCCCCTACCTCCATAAATAGCAAAAGCTTGATCATAGAAAAACCTCCTCTTCAAGGTATCTTCCATTTTTGATCTGTCTATAATGTCATCTTTGGGCTGTAATGCCAGCTCCTGCAGAAGAGTAAATTAAAAAAGTGTGAGAAGTGAGCGGCACTCTGAACTTATACATCCGAGTTTAGTTTATTACTCAGCAGAATTCAATATAAAATTTATCAGACAAGATTTTGAGAAGCAGAAAAAAGTTAAAAGGCGTCAGTTTTCCATTGAGAGGCAGAAAACATACCTCTACTTAATTATGTTGGAAAGTATATAATAATTTCTAAAATTATAGGACTAAGCTTATTTAAACACAGGCAATAATAGGCAATATCTGAATTTTTGGTGGGTCACTGTAGCAAAATGGTGACTTAAATTTGGTGAGTTCCAGGACATTCATGAGGTATATTACACCTAGGATGTGACTGGAATGAGGTTGGAAGAGGGCAGGAGGAAATCAGGGGTCAGGAGGGCTACAAGGTAAGAAGAAGTCATTCTTTTTTTTTTTTTTTTCATTAATTGTATTGGCACATTTTAGATATACATAACACTCATTATATGGAATTTGTATCTATACATGATATAGCTTGAGTCTTTTTTTTCTTTTTTTTCTGGAAAAGGTATTCTTAACAAAACAGATAAATCAAATGATACTTTTTTCAGAAACTTTTCCAGACCTGTAAAAGAAACTTTAAATAAAGAAGAACAATTCTATACAGCATCCTATTTCATCATCCAAGTGCTCACCTTAGCTTCCAGAACTCTCTTCCGGGCTTTGAGCTCAGCTACTGCTCTGTCCACATCTACTTGAGGTGCTTTATCTTCTTTCAGCTTTCGCACAAGATCCCCCTAGCCAACAAAGAGAATTTACATTCAGGACTGGTTTCAGAAGTTAAGAAATGTTAGCAATGTATGGCAGGGAGGCCTGGGTTGAGATGGGATCTCGCTACCCTGCCCAAGCTGGTCCAGAACTCCTAGGCTCAAGTGATTCCCTGCCTCAGCCTTTCAAGTAGCTCAGACTACAGGAGTGTGCCACTCCACCCGTCACTGCAGAATGTGTTTTTAAGTGTGCCCCTAAAGAAGTATTGATGGAAGAATAATACAGTTCAAGTGTTTATTATGTGAGATGTCATAAATAACTGAAGGTCTCTGCCCTCAGCACCTACTACCCAGATAAATGTACAGACATGTTAACAAACAACTGTAGTCAAATAGTGGATTTCAGGAGTGGGAGTGGGTGGAGATAGGGAAAGGGGGAAGAGGCATTTTGAAAAAATCACATAGATCATGTGGAAATGAATCACAACTTAAAAAACACTTATGGAATAGGTTCTATAGCAGATCAGACACAACTGAAGAGAGAACTAGTGACTGAGGAAAAGACCAATAGAAATTAACCAGCACAGCACAGAAAGAGTAAAAAATATGAGATAAAAAGACAGGAAAGAGTCTAAGATTTATCCAACCAGAATGTAAAAGAATAAAGAAAAACCGTAAGCAGCAATATTTGAAAACATAATGACTATAAAATTTCCAGACATGTAGGAAGCACAATGATGCTGCTTCCCAGATGTGAGAAGCACAAGAAACTCTAAATACACAGAACAAAATCCACACTCAGACTAGGCTGTTTACACACAGTAGTGCTTTGTTTCCAGTCCACAGATACCTACGTTAGTATTAGACCTGGCTCCAAATTGCTCTAATTCATGTTATCACATTTTATAAGCCTTATTTTACAACACAACACAAAGCCACCCTAACTGGGTGGCTTTTCCTACCCATTGCCTTCAGTGATCATCCTCCCACCTCAAAGGTTCCCCTGCACTGGGTGACATTCTACCACACCATTCAGGAGGCGCTGCTAACTACTCCAGCCCCAAGTGCTCAGTAAGGACATGTTCCTCTTAAAGCTGTCTCCAGTAGAGGCTGATCTCTCCCTTGTTCCTCAAGAGCTGTAAAAGAAACTTTAAATAAAGAAGAACAAGCATCTGTGGGACAGATGCTCTCCTTACCTCCCCATTCCTCTTCCCTCCTGCTAAGACCCTCACTTCCTTTGAAGGGCCCCTCACCTCTTCCCCTTGCTGTTGTCATCTTCCAAGCTCCCACCTACTCCCCTCACGCAAAGGTGGTCCCCTATTCAACAGAATGTCTCCCGCAAGAGGTTAAAAGTGGGGAGGGGGAGTATATTTTTCTGACCCTAAAACTTACATATAATCAAAGTATTTTCCTACAGTTTTAGCACACTGAATTTTCAGGGATGCACATGTGCGAATAATTTAAAAGAAAACTAAAGCTAGTTTGCTCAGAATTTTACAACTAGGTGTTTATTCTTCAAGGGTAAAGCTTTTCATTATTTGAACAAACAAAACATATCACCAATGGCATTGCTGCTGGTATCTAAGCAACTATCATCATATACCTTGATCAGCATATATTCATAGCAACTGTACTCCCCGTAAATTTATGTACAGGTATAAGCATCTGCTTAGTTTATCACAACTCCCAGTGGAGTCCTACCCAGAAATTGCATCCTTAAATACATATTTTTTATTATAAATGTATTCAAACTTACTTTTCATTCCTGATATTATACTGCCAATCCTTATTCTATTCTACTGACCTCTCTAGCTAAAGCACCATTCCAGTCATCTTCTACTTTCATTTTATCTTCTTCATTACAATACCTGAAATCACTGTATAGATACATTGGCTTATTTAGTTTACATGCATCTTAGGACAGGAGTTCTGGTATGTCAGTTCTGGCACTCAAATGCTCGCTGACTGATATCACAGCCTAAACCTAGCACAGTACCAGGTCCTCAGTATTCAGTAGTATCTATAGTTTTAGTGGTTCCTTCCCTTTCTCTACCTGTCAGGAAAGCCATCTCCTATCTCACAGGTGTTCCCTGACAGAGCTGTTGACCAGGGATAAGAGGCCTGCCCAAAAGAGCCTTTATTGTGAAGAGTAACAGGACCTCCTTCCGACTGTCAGAAAGAAGTCCTTCTCTTCACTGTCATCATGCCCCATTCCCAATGTCAAGTGTGGGCACTCTCAACTCCATCTATTTTCTCCCGGAGCTCTCAGAAGGCACTGGCAAGCCAGGCCATAAGCAAGCAGGTAGGAAGAACTTAAAATTCATTGCTCTGAATCACTTCTTGTTTTCAGAAATAGGCACATAAATTCAAACACAGGCTAGCTATCACAAGAAGTGGTGTGAGAATGAGGATTTTGGCATGGACTTCACCATCTCTGAAGTTCCAATGAAGAAAGAAAACAGTTGCATTTATCCTAAATAATGAAACAAGTAAATTTATATAGGTCCAGTCCTTAGAAGAACTGCAAGTAACCAATACAAGGAACGAAAGTACTTCAGGGTTCCTATTTCTAATTATTATTCATTTTTTCTTCACCACTTAACTGTATTTTGGGCATTTCTGTGTACACATTAAATAAATGATGTGAAATATTAAGATCTCTAGATTACTGTTAAGAAACATCAACTAGATGCTTAGCTCCTGCATAAATTTTTGCCATTAAGATGTATGTTAGAGCCAGCTATGGTGGCCCAGGCCTGCAATCCCGGCACTCAGGAGGGTGAAGCAGGAAGATCTTCGAGAGTTTGAGGCCAGTCTGGACTATACCATCAGTTCGAGAGTTTGAGGCCAGTCTGGGCTATATCGTCAGTTCAAGTCCAGCCTGGACTACAAATGATGAGAACCTGTCTCAAAAAACTGAAAAAAAAAAAAAATTAGAGCTAACAGCCTGGTGGGCTGGGATATAGCTCAGTGGCACAAGCGCCTGAATCGGGCACACACTTTCCTAGGACCGCATCTAAAAAAAAAAAAAAAAAAAAAAAAAAAGCTAACAGCCTGTATATAAAAGAGAATAGACAGTAGGTGAGTGAACCATTTCCTCACCTACTGATGTTTGACTTTATACGTATGGCTAGAAGGTTTTTGCTAGGATTACAAATTCATCTCAGATTTCTAAATATTTCATAACTACTTAAAAGAACTTCATAAAATTTTCATTTTCCATTTTTAGATTAAGCAGCAGCTTTGTAGGCATTCTTAGTTTAGAAAAAGCAGAGAAAAATCCAAAGCTCTTCACATGAAATCTTATCACTACTACTAAGATTCAAGTTTTACTCTGTCCCCTCAATTACAGAAAAAAAAATTGAAATGCTAAAACATACATTATGTTACCCACACATCTATTCCTATATTACTGATTTAGATAGTGCATTATAATTTAAAGACTCCCCCAAGAAATCATTTTAGAAGATTTTCTATTATCTTACCAAATTCAGGAGACACAAATTCTCTTATATAAGTTCAAAATGTTATCAAACTGACAATCTTAAGAAAATAGGTGAGCTCCACACCAGCAATAGCATGATGGAACCAGCATTCTAAGAGCCAGAAGCAGTGGTGCACTTCCGTAACCCCAACTACTCAAGATGAGAGGAGAGTTCCCAAAGTTAAGCCAGCCAGGACAACTTAGTGAGACCCTTTCTCAAAATAAAAAAAGAAAGGGTTGCGGATGTAACTCAATGGTAGAGCCCTTGTCTGGCATGCACAAGCCCCTGGGTTGGATTTCCCAGCTCTGTAAAAGATAAAAGGAACCAGCACGCCAATCAGCAACAACCAGCTCAGAAAAATACCTAGCATTCTTACCATGAACTTAACACAAGCTACAGGCAGCACTGTCAACACCTTACATGAACTTCCACTTTACTGTTTAAAAACCCATTTCCACTGCGTAGATGAAGAAGTTTGGCTACTGAAAGGTTAAATCATTTGCCTAAGGTTACCAGCTAATGACAGCAATGCCAGGATGTGAACTCTAGAAATGTAACTTTAGAACCTGTACTCAGAATTAGTAGGCTATCTTGCACCAGCAGTCATTCATCAACGAAAAAAAATAAGCATGGTTGTGGCCAAAAGCAGGGGTATAAAGAAACCCCACCTAGCAACTCTTCAGAACTTTTCCTAGCTTGACAATCATGAAGTGCCTCCTCAGATTTTCTTTTTTAAATCCTTCTTGGTTCTGTTTCTCTACAATAGCTACATTATGAGAGCCTTCAACTCCATCCACCTAAATCATTTCAGAATTGTGTCTCCAGACCAGACACTGCCATTGCCACACCTCACCCAATCTCTACAGTATTTTCTGTCTGAACCTCCAGATCAGGTAAAAAGTCACTGCCACTGGTCCTCCTTGCACCCAGGGATATTAAGACACACTTCCTCAACCACTTAATCTCATGTAACATTTAGACAAAGCCAAAGGGAAAGAAAAGCAACACAGCTCAACAGTTAAGTGCCAAAGGTAGATAAAACGTGATGATCACAGAAAAGTACCTTCTGGGGTGCAGGCCAAACACAGTGATGAAGGCCAAAGGCAGAGTGCAGGGGACAGAAGAATGAATGGAAAATGAGAAAGCAGATACAGGGAGAAGCCTGGGCTGTAAAGGAAACAACAGGCCAGGGGAGGGGCCTGTCCCACACAGCAGCCCAAACCTATCTTCATATAAATCAGATACTATGTTCCTCTAAACAGCAGTTCTAAAACTTTGTGGTCTCAAGACCCCATTTTACTGTTAAAAATCGCTGAGGCCTCTCAAGGCTTTTATTTATGTGAGCTATTGACAGTTACTTTTGTTTATGTGAGTACAGCCAGTTCTTAGCTTACCCATCCTTCAACTCACAAGTTTCTGACTGAATCATGGTGATACATTCAGTAGAAACTACTTTCAGTTGAGCTTTTATCTTCTCTCAGGCCAGAGCCCTTCTCGTGATGCTGGGCCACAGTGAGTAGTGGTTCCTGGTCAGCCACATGATCCCTTAGGTAAACAGATACACTCCACAGTGACAGTGTGCAGTGACAGCGTACTGCGTTGCGAAGGAAGGATATTCTTCGGCAGGTTAAGTGTATCACATTTCCAGCTTACAGGTTCCACCTGTAATGGGTCCACCCGGATGCACCCCCATTGTAAGTATAGGAGTGTATGTTTTAGAAATTAAAATAGAAACTTCTAGCCTGGTGTGGTAGCACAAACATGTAATCCCAGCACTCTGGGACAATAACGCAAGAGGATGGCAAATTCTGCAAACTTAAGATCAGTCTGGGCAACTTAACTAGGTAAGAAAGATCCTCCCTCAAAATTGAAAAAAAACAAAGTTCAAAAAAGGGCTGGAGATGTACAGCTCAGTGTAATTCCCACACATACACACACATAATTTTAAAATGTATCAATTCATTTAAAATAATAAAAGCTCAATATACTAACAGGTATAAAAATAAAATTTTAATGAAAATACTGTTTGTGGAAAAAATTTTCTAACTTTGCAAAGTAATCTGTAACTTCAAAGAAGACACCTAGATGCTTCTCTTGCAATACGGTTATTCTGGATAAAATTCATCAAGAGAATCATACACTGATGGGAAAGGGAGGAGAATGTTAAGCTTTTCAGGTAATTGTGAATATTCTTTGATATTACAGCAAATTCCAACAAACAGTTTTAATCTTAAAAGTTATTCCTAACTCCAAAACCGTAGCACTGAACTTACTACTACATTAAATCCATGGGTGTATCTTGGACTTTAGAGGGATCTTTTGCCAATGCCTTGTCTCTTAACATCACACATTCCTCATTTAGAAAATTGGTTAGATGAGTTATGCAGCCCTCCCAAACATTAACCCACTTAATATACCTAGCCCAGACTTGTAAATATCAATGCTCATCTTATCAAAGTCTTTAAACACTGTGAAGCTGTAAGTCTGAAATTTAACCAATGAAAATTTTTCAAAATTCTGAAATTTCCCTCCCAAAGGCTTTAATTTTATTTTGGACCACAAATATTATCAGTTGGTTGTGTTTTCTGTTTTAAGTGACAGGCTCAATTCATTCAATTTCCAAGTCAGAAAACTTATATGAAATGTATGTCAGGAGCTAGAATAGTTGTTAAACGCCTTAAAAATCCCTCCCTAGAGGTCTTCAACTGCATAAACTTCACAATGGAAAAATGTAAAATGGACCGAGAAGACAGTCTCAGTTCCCTATATGCAAATAAACGGGTTTAAATCGAGAAGCTTTAAATTTCTTCTGGTTGATATTGGCCTCACTATGATTCAAAGTTCCAGGCGATTAATTAACTGATAAATATGATACTGGAAAATTATAAAAGAAGCCAAACTACAGTACATAAATTAACTCACATAGTGAGGAAAATATCTTTACAAGTACAAAAAAATTAAACCAAGATAAAGAATACACAAAATATACAAATCAATACACTACACAGGAGGAGTGTGGAAAAGCTGTTCCATACTCCGCATTTACTGCAGTTAACTGGATCCAATCTTACAACCACGGATGGACAACTTGCACTGCAGTTCCAAGCTAACGTGGCAGAGGGAGGGGTTTGCCTTGGTTTTTTCCAAATTAGATGTATTCTCCCTTCTAAGGAAAGACATCAAAAAATCAACAGTTAAGACAAAGAAACCACACCTAATTTAATTCGGGGAGTGGAAGGAGAAAGAGAATGAGCACAGTAATCAGATGCCAAAGAAGAGAAAAGCATTAAGCCCATAGTGAAATTTTTAAATGCAACACTACTAAATCAGGCTCAAACTAGAGGGAAGCAGAGATTGCCAAGTGACAGAATTTACAGAATTTGCGGCAGCTATGCTCCAATGAATTATTTCCGAGAGAGGGTTCCACCCTCCGTAGCTAGGGCAAACGATTGCATCAGGCGCCAACGCAGGAGAAACCCGTTCGGCGTTCACTAGAAGCCGGTGCTGGATCTCCCGGGTCCTTCTGCAGGCGTCTGGCGCTGCCTCACTGGATCTGAGAATCACCTGAAACACGTTCCTTGTTCTCTACACAGTGGGATCTCCACGCTGAGGTCTTGGAAAAGGAGGCCTATACAAAGTCTCCCTGAAACCTCTCCCTTCCGCAAAACCTAATTTCAAAATGTTCCATAACCAGGATGACTTCACCGAGTAACTCAGCATATTCACAGTTTCCCAGGTTTACGAAGTGAAAGCTCGCCCGCTCCAGATGGCCTTTTCAGAAGCCAGAAAAGATGACAGGAGCGAAGGATAATGACTTCACAACCTTCGAAGGAGAAAAAAAAGTTCGACACCTTCCCAAACCCACGTTTCAACTTTTTTTCTCAGCCGATCCTGCGGTTAACAAAGTACTGAGGGAACGAAGATGAAAAGGAGCAAACCTCATCCAAAGCATCCTGAAGATGAAAGGGTCTGACCGTCAGACAAGAGAACCGGCGGGCTCCTCTCATCAGCGACCAGGGTCAGAATTGAGAACCCGGCCACCCAGGGTGCACAAAGCGCACAGCACATCCTGGGAAACCCGAGTTAAGGTTATGCAGTAGGACCCGGGAACACAGACCCCAGACCCAGGACGCGGAGCGGGAACGGAGGACAGATCGGGAGGGGACGCTGACCAGCCCGGACGAGGGAGTCAGGAACAGGGAGGGAGACGCGGGTCCCCGAGGGAAGGGGGCCGACCGCGGGCTTGGGTCAAAGCAGGGGATGAAGGGAGCGGGTGCCGGGGAGGACGAGCAGAGCAGCCGCGGAGCGGAGGCGGGGCGGGCGTCGGACGCGAGGCGCCGGTACCTGCTGGCGCACGGCGAGCCTGAGCGGGGCCAGCACCTCCTCTGCCCCGGCGCCGTCCATGCTGCTCCGGGAAGCGGCGGCGGGGCC